CCCAAGGTGGCCATTTGTTTTTTAAGGAAGGAAAAAGTTATTGATTGTAACTTACTGTTTGTTATTGTTACTTATTGTTATTTGTATAACACATACATTATAGCTGTGTTCACATGAACTGCCCCGTTTCAGTTAATTGGTCTGAGGGAGATCTAGGACAGAGCTATATAGGTGCTGTTAATCACTTATTACGCTGATAATGAATCATTATTATTATTTTGGTAACAAGGCCTACAGTTAATTATACACAAAGATAACCAGGGCAAACCAAAGAGAAAAGGAAGGGAAAATGGTTGTACATTTTTGCCAATAAAGATTTGGAATGAATCACTTTATTATTTTGGTGTGGGGGGGGGGGGGGACCATGAGGCGGGACCCAATTGGCCCAGCGTCGTCCGGGTTAGGGGAGGGTTTGGCCAGCCAGGATTTCCTTGTCCCATCGCACTCTAGCGACTCCTTGTGGCAGGCCGGGCGCCTGCAAGCTGACTTCGGTCACCAGCCGGATGGTGTTTCCGCCGACACATTGGTGCGGCTGGCTTCCGGGTTAAGCGAGCAGTGTGTCATGAAGCAGTGCGGCTTGGCAGGGTCGTGTTTTGGAGGACGCATGGCTCTCGATCTTCGCCTTTCCCGAGTCCATTGGGGAGTTGCAGCGTTGGGACAAGACTGTAACTACCAATTGGATATCACGAAATTTGGGAGAAAAAGTACCCTGCCCTGAACTATAGACACTGTCACTAGCTGGCTACCAACCGGTACACTTCCCTGCACCTTGAGACTGCTGCCTTATATACATAGGGACATTGAACACTGGCCACTTCAATAATGTTTACATACTGTTTTACCCACTTCACTGCACATGCGATAACATCTGCAAATCTGTGTATGTGACCAATAAACGTTGATTTGATTAGATTTTGACACACACAATGTACGATTGCATGAGCACGCACTCACACACGCGCACACACAACCCCACACAGTCACACACAAACAACGTATGCTCACACACAGAGGTAAAGAGGATTTGTACTGTCCTTTACCTGTCAGATGAGTCATCAGAGGGATAACAGGCGTCAAACACTGTCACATCCTAGCACTGTGTGTGTGTGTGTGTGTGTGTGTGTGCGTGTGTGTAGGACTATGTAGGCACAACTGATGGGCAATGGCCTGTCATAATTAAAGTGAGTCACTGGGTTTTCCCACTCCTCTATAATTATTGCTGCCCTTAGGTGCAGATCTAGTATCAGATTCCCCTCCCCCAATCCTAACCTTAACCATTATAGGGGAAAATGCAATACTGATCCAAGATCAGCATCTAGGGGAAACTTCACCTTAAACCATAATTGTCATCTCAGAGCTGTGGTGGCAGTAATGTTAAGACTTGATGTGACAGCCAGGGTGACAGATACCGCAGAAACATTTCCACCACCTCACACATCCGACACCGATGTACTGATAAAAGCAGAGAATAGCATAGAAACCCATAGTGAAGATCTGTTACAAAATTAATGATTGAAAAGAAAATGAGAGATGAGAAAGATAAGGGAGAATTGAGAATCAAAGCTGAGATATTAGTATCAAGCACAACATATGTGCACACACACACATTGGCCAACCGTATAGATAGGTACCAGTGGCGGTCGGTGCCATTTAAGATAAGGGAGGACAATTTTTTTTTTAATGAGCATGGCCTTATTTCTATTACAGCATATTGGATGACTGTCAGTCATATTCCTTTCACCCAGCTCAATGTTACATCAATAGGTTTAGGCTACTACATGATACTCAAATGTTCCCTATACCCATCATGAGGTTCCTATAACCTAGCCTATGAATGAAAGTTTACAATATAGGTGCAGATATTTGAGTAATCAAGGTGCTAGACAGTGACACATTCAATACCGCCGTACACACTCTTGCCTGCATCTAGCTGATCTAGGATGTAATCATTAGTCCAACAGTTGCAAACAAGAGTTTCTATTGGACAAATTCAGGTATGTTTATCCCCATTTTGTTCCGTTTGTTTCCGTTTATGAAACGTTTTTAAACAGAATCGGCGGAATGAATACACCCCTGATCACCCGTAAACACAGTTAAAAGTTTTTTTTAAATACAACAAAATATAGCAATCTCGCTCTCTTGCTTCTCCTTCATTTTTTGAAGAAATTAATTTGTTCAAAACTGTTCAACTATTGTCAACAACTCACCACAACTCACAGCTAGCTAGCTGTAGCTTATGCTTTCAGTACTAGATTCCTTCTCGGGTGCGTTGATTTGGTGGACAACATGTCAGTTCATGCTGCAAGAGCTCTGATAGGTTGGAGGAAGTTATCATAATTACTGTGTAAGTCTATGGAAGGGGTGAGAACCATCAGCCTCCTAGGTTTTGTATTGAAGTCAATGTACCCAGAGTAGGGCGAAAACTAGCTGTCCTCCGGGTACACCATGGTCCTACCCCAGAGAGTGAGATTAAAGATACTGTGGACCTTCATTGCAAAACAGTGTGTTTTAATCAATTGCTTGGTAACATATGAATATATTTAGTATAGTTTTATCTAAAAATGATAACCTTTTTAATATTTCACTATTTTTATTTTTCAGAAATTCACTGGTCCTCCACTTCCTCCTCTGAGGAGCCTCCACTGGTAGGCACTACACACACATCTGTCAGAGCCAATTAAGCTGAATTAAATGCCAATCCAGCATAAATGTGTGATTGGCTGGGGTAAAATAGCCTAAATTGTCCCACCCATCCTCCCCTTTTGCACCACTGTTTTTTCTTTACACACAACTGGGCTGATGTTACTACTGCCTACGTCATTCAGCATCTTCGGCTCGAGGCAGGCGGGCATTTCCCGCGGAAAGCCAAGGACTAGGCTACAACCAGGTCCATTATTTATTTATTTCCCGGAGGCAGCATGGAAAATACCGAAAACCACTAGAGAATACGCGGCTGTTTCGATTTTAGCAGCAAATCTCCTTACATTTAAAACGTTGAGGTTGACAATGTTAAGGTTACGCATTCACAAACATCGACCCATATCCTCCTCAAATGCAACATTGTAGCCCATTAAAGAAAATCCTTTACATGAATGCAACATTGTCTCTCGCAGCATCAATACAAACTCCCCTTCACCGCAAGCATGCAGGCATATCACAGTTGATATCATAATTCAAATTGAGCAGCTGTGTTCATTCAACCCAAATCGCTTTAACACAATTCTGAATGTCAAGTTCGTCAGGATCAGGGCGCAATTGTGCGGCTCGCATCTCCAATAATCAATTCACAATCAATGGGTGGCTCTAGGCTATAGTGTCATTGTAGGTACGGGGGGGGGGGACGGTGAGCGAAAAAAGCCTACACATTGAGCTCTACAATATAGGCCTACTCAGCATTACTGAAGAAGGTACAGTAATAACCTTTGTTTTTCCCATTGACTCACCTTCACTGCCGAATGCCTGACAGCATTGGATGCCGTCTGCCTTATCTCCGCCGCACTCCCGGGCTTGAGCAGGTTCTTCGTGAATCTCCGGGTCGATTCCGCTGCCATTTCAGAACGGTCAACACTATTCCTCGGGTTCAAGCGCCGACGTTCGTCCAGATTTCCAACGCGTTCGTCTATTGCAAATCCAATGTATACGCCAGCGACGGCTCTGCTACCCTCCTCGTCTCGCTGCTGCGCCTTCTAGGCTACTAGTACTACACAGCAGCCCTGATTGCGTAGGCTACAGATGCCTATTCAGCGAGATTCTACCAATGCCCGTGCGCTACAGAGTCAAAGGAAGCGGAACTAATGGCCCATCTCTCTCCAAACCCTGGGCTGCAAGAAGCCTTTAAACTATTAACGTTTTAATAATTGAACATAGGCTGGGCTTTACCAAACATAGTACGCCCAAACCCCGCTATTGATGAGGATTATCTGTTGCTATAAATCTACGAAATGTACAAATTGGTCATAAAACAAAATTCTAAAAGGCCTGCAATAACAGTGACCATTATGTCCATAATTTGGCCTCTGCCACAGGCCTAGACCATGCCAGGGAGAGAAATCTAGGAGAATAACCTCCAGAATGTCATCAACTCATCAGCAGTCCACTCAGGACCATCGTTGGAGGGATGGGGAGGGAGGGAGGGAGGAAAAATGGTCACACAGCGACTTACTGTGGTGGAATAGGCTAGTGCTAGTCAGTCATTAATTGTTTGTTTTTTCTATAGGCAGCATTATCATTTTAAGCATTATCATTTTAGGCTACACAACGCATGTGGCATGGTTACAACATTGTTGGGCACTATACTGTATATCCACATTGAATACAAGCCATCGTCGGATATGATCAATATGCCTATCTGGAATTTTAGCATTGAACCATTAACCAATAGCAAGTCCTACTTTGCATTAATGACAACGTTAGCTGGCTATCAGTAAGGAAATATAAACGCAAAAAGGCCTTCACATTTGACAAGTCCAAACCATAGCCTGTGTCCTTCTGAAAACACGATTCCTATATGATCATGGCAATCCAATAGACGCGGCTTTTAACATTTCCAGATGTTTTGGTTTCTTGAGTCTGGGTTGCAAAGTGAGGACAAATCGACCTTCACGTTGGGGTTTCCCGTCGCCAAAACAGCCCTGGAGACCTAGAAAACAGACTTCATCATAGGCCTACCATTTGGCTTTGGTAATTGGCTTCCATGGAGGTCTTGGCAGTTAAACCCTATGGAGTTGTATCTTACCTAAAGGCAACAGAGCAGAAATCTGCATACGAAGGCATTTTCAATAGTTGGATGATATCTAAGGAGACCTACCCCATACATTTCCATAAAACACGTGTCCAACTTAGCTTAGTTGATTCTAAAGAAGACTTATCACAGTTGTTTGATGGAATAAGGCATCCGGACGTATTTATTGTAGTCTGGCTCTCCCGTGTGTCCATTCTTCAGTACTGCAGTTGTATGGGAAAGGATAATTGCACCAAATTTACAATTGTATGCATTGCCTTCATTTCTTAATTTTCTTGAAGATGAGTAGTGCTTTGAAGGCTTTCAGGACTTTGCAGTTTTTCAAGGATGGCTTGTTGGTCTTGTTTGTTTTGAGGGGCTTGGGAGTGGTCTTGGTCAGGAACAAATATTCAACTATTTTCAGCTTCTCTGAGGTTAGTTGAAAAATCCTAGAAAGAAAATCACAGTACTTAGAGACAACATGCCCCATGTCCCTATAAGAGTAGATATTGACTAATGCCACGTTTACGTGCTATTGGAGTTATCGGAAATTCCTAGTTCCGACTAGGAAGGTTCACTTGAACGACCCTCCAAGTCGGTGGGAAACTGAGAAAAGTTTGTTGTCCGAGTTGTGCCGTTTCACCACTGTCATTTACCTTTTCAACCAAAAGATGACAACAAATCCGTTTTTGATAACTACAACCTTATCAATATGGATAATTAGGCTACATTTTACATTTCATAATGTAGCTAGATTGGCCATATTGTCAATGTTAAGCAAGCTAGCTAACTTTACTATTAGCAACATTAGCTAGCTCATCAAGCTAGCTAAAATCGTATTGGTTTAATAATTATTTCGACCAAAAAGCACATGAATGAAACAAAGTAGTATTTTCGACATCACAACTAGAAAGTAGGAAGTTCCGACGAGCATGTGAGCGCGGCACACCCCAAAAAAGGGTTGTGGCTGTATGTTTTAGTCTCATAGAATGCAAAGTACGTTTTAGGGTTAAGGATGGGATGAAATTCCTTTCTATAGGATCCATTCAGATGTACACTCATCAATAACTGGGCAGTCCGATCTCCTTCTGTAATAGGAAGTAGAGGCTAGAGAGACCGGTATGTGGATGAAGACAGAGAGGAAGGACACGGACTGACACCGAGTCGTGACTCAAACCCCCGAAACCGTGGCGGCATGCATGGTGCAGAGTCGAGAGTGTTAGCACTCGACCAGCCTCCGACACTAATCTATTTCAATCAAATTAATTGACTGTTGGACTCACCTCTGGCAGAGTAGCGCTGCCTCCTTCTTCTCCATGGCCAGAGCATGCTCGGCAGCAGAGACGTTCAGCTAAAGACTACATTAATTATATGTTAGTGTACAGCAAGACACCTTACAGTAACTAGCAAAAAGAAGCTAATAACACCTTATTGCAACTAGCTAACTTTAAAGTGAATGTTCTCACAAATATGGTCTGGATTTTGTCTTGTAGATTGTCAATCTGAGGAAAAAACTAAAATTGCATTATAAATGTGTGCAAAGACCCAATATGAGTGTTGATACTGGGGCTTATGGTTTAGATGAAGTACTTGGTAGCTTAGTTTACTATTGAGCGGTTATGGATCAGTAGTTGGCAGGCTGTCTTATTTAGGCTTACTTATGTTGCTTTTCCTCATGTTTGCCTTGAATCTGGGCTTTGGTCCTCATGTCATGTGAATGAAAACAAATCCTAATATGATCAAACTAATATCACATCCACTTACAGCTTTTTCAGAGTCTGTCTATACATATAATATAATAATATATAATATATATATACATCTTCTCAGTGATATGGAGTTTTTGATGTAGAGAGGATTTCGTAATTTTTGTCTGTTGCAAAGTAAACAGACTTCATAAAGTAATGAAAATATCAAGACAGAATAAAGTTACTCTGGCTGATGGGACATACAGTGCATTCGGAAAGTATTCAGACCCCTTGACGTTTTCCACATTTTGGTACGTTACAGCCTTATTCTAAAATGGATTAAATAAATCCCCATCAATCTACACACAATACCCCATAATGACAAAGCGAAAACAGGCTTTTAGACATTTTAGCAAATATATTAAAAATAAAAAACAGAATTAAGTATTCAGACCCTTTGCTATGAGACTCGAAATTGAGCTCAGGTTCATCCTGTTTTTATTGATCATCCTTGAGATGTTTCTACAACTTGATTGGACATGATTTGTAAAGGCACACACCGGTACCACAGTTGACAGTGTATGTCAGAGCAAAAACCAAGCCATGAGGTCGAAGGAATTGTCCGTAGAGCGCTGAGACAGGATTGTGTCGAGGCACAGATCTGGGGAAGGCTACCAAAAAATATCTGCAGCATTGAAGGTCCCCAAGAACACAGTGGCCTCCATCATTCTTAAATGGAAGAAGTTTGGAACCACCAAGACTCTTCCTAGAGCTGGCCTCCCGGCCAAACTGAGCAATTGGGGGAGAAGGGCTTTGGTCAGGGAGGTGACCAAGAACTCGATGGTCACTCTGACAAAGCTCCAGAGTTCTTCTGTGGGGATGGGAGAACCTTCCAGAAGGACAACCATCTCTGCAGCAATCCACCAATCAGGCCTTTATGGTAGAGTGGCCAGATGGAAGCCACTTCTCAGTAAAAGGCACATGACAGCCCGCTTGGAGTTTTCCAAAAGGCACCTAAAGGACTCTCAGACCATGAGAAACAAGATTATCTGGTCTGATTAAACCAAGATTGAACTCTATGGTCTGAATGCCAAGCGTCACGTCTGGAGGAAACCTGGAATTATCTCTACGGTGAAGCATGGGGGTGGCAGCATCATTCTGTGGGGATGTTTTTCAGCGGCAGGAACTGGGAGACTAGTCAGGATTGAGGGATAGATGAACAGAGCAAAGTACAGAGAGATCCTTGATGAAAACCTGCTCCAGAGCGCTCAGGACCTCAGACTGGGACGAAGGTTCACCTTCCAACAGGGCAAGCACACAGCCAAGACAACACAGGAGTGGCTTTGGGACAAGTCCCTGAATGTCCTTGAGTGGCCCAGCCAGAGCCCGGACTTGAACCCGATTGAATATCTCTGGAGAGATGTGAAAATAGCTGTGCAGTGACTCTCCCCATCCAACCTGACAGAGATTGAGAGGATCTGCAGAGAAGAATGGTAGAAACTCCCCAAATACAGTTGTGCCAAGCTTGTAGCGTCATACCCAAGAAGACTTGAAGCTGTAATCACTGCCAAAGGTGCTTCAACAAAGTACTGAGTAAAGGGTCTGAATACTTATGTAAATGTGATATGTCAGTTTTTATGTATTTATTTTTAGCAAAAATGTCTAAAAACAAAATTGGGTATTGTGTGTAGATTGATGAGGGGGGAAAAAACAATTTCATCCATTTTAGAATAAGGCTGTAATGTAACAAAATGTGGAAAAAGTGAAGGGGTCTGAATACTTTCCGAATGCACTGTATGTTGTGTGTTTGTAACATAGCCTACCCCAAAGACCCCTGTTCTCCTCCTCCAGTGTGGTTTTGTTCTGTAGAAAATTATGCATTTTTAAGTGCCAGCAAACAACTGATCCGTTGTAAAATATGATAGTATTTCCAGTTTGGGGGAAACTGAAAAGCAGGTCCTTTCTGTAATCAACACCCATTATTTACATCTACTTATTTCAATAACTTAACCAAATGTCTCCTAGCTTACACTGACTATACATTAACTTACTAGGGCCACATCCCTCATCTCAGTGACCTTGATCTCACTCTTTTCCTCACTCTTGATATCTGTAACAAAGGTGATTATTTGATCCACATATCAATGCAGCATTTAGTTGTGGATAATCCTGCATGCTTCTACCCTCGAACAATCCTGACAAGTAAGCTTAGTAGGTCGATAAACAGATTGCAATCTTTTTATACTCTGATCAAACTGTGGGTGTTGGTGGCACAGGGCATCCTGGCACCACCGTGATGCTCTTTAAGTGGTTCCATCAGTCCCACCTGTTGAGAGCCATAACAGGAACCCCATTAAGATAGCTCTTTATCATCATACCAAAAGAGTGAGTTTGATTGAGCAGTAATGGACTTACAACAGCTTTCAGTTTCTGTATGTGTTCATCACGCTCCTGGAGTCGTAGATGAAATGCCTCCATTTCTGCAGCTCTGATGTTCCGCTGTTCCTTCTTATCCTTGGGATAAAAAGAGATGGGCTCAATGTTAACTGTGTGATAAACATCTGACCATGACAATGAAACAAGTTGATAAATAGACTATACTTTGACCGTATGTTAATGGTTAAATACTTTTTTGTCTTTGCACCTATAGAACTACATACATTTCCAGTAACTAAACATTAGTCAATGTCATTCTATTAGACATGATGCCACATTGGTCATACACTGTAGAGGGAAGGGAAACTACCTAAAGTAGAGGACTGCGGGTATGCCCGCGACCTTTGCACCCGTGTGTCATAGTTCTTCAACTAAAACAAACCAGATTTAGAACATAAGTTACAATGATCATGGAAAAGTATATGTTATTCAAGTCCCTGGTCTGACTTGAATAGCTTCTGAAACATGCCAGTATCTCCATTTCAGACAATTTAATAATTGTGTCACATTTATTTTTCGATAGCTGGGCGATTTTCACGTTTAGCTGCATCTCAGTCACTGGTGATACAGAGGGGAATATGAAATTAGTCTTGGTTCAGGGATGACTAAGGAGCAAAATCTACTGTATAAAATGTAAATACAAAAGCATGCTTCTCCTTATCTGAGCTACTAATCAAAGGTAGAAAAACTCACATACAGTGGGGAGAACAAATATTTGATACACTGCTGATTTTGCAGGTTTTCCTACTACCAAAGCATGTAGAGGTCTGTAATTTTTATCATAGGTACACTTCAACTGTGAGAGACGGAATCTAAAACAAAATTCCAGAAAATCACATTGTATGATTTTTAAGAAAAAAGTATTTGATCCCCTGCTGATTTTGTACGTTTTCCCACTGACAAAGACATGATCAGTCTATAATTTTAATGGTAGGTTTATTTGAACAGAGAGAGACAGAATAACAACCAAAAAATCCAGAAAAACGCATGTCAAAAATGTTATGAATTGATTTGCATTTTAATGAGGGAAATAAATATTTGACCCCTCTGCAAAACATGACTTAGTACTTGGTGGCAAAACCCTTGTTGGCAATCACAGAGGTCAGATGTTTCTTGTAGTTGGCCACCAGGTTTGCACACATTTCAGGTGGGATTTTGTCCCACTCCTCTTTGCAGAACTTCTCCAAGTCATTAAGGTTTCGAGGCTGACGTTTGGCAACTCGAACCTTCAGCTCCCTCCACATATTTTCTATGGGATTAAGGTCTGGAGACTGGCTAGGCCACTCCAGGACCTTAATGTGCTTCTTTCTTGAGCCACTCCTTTGTTGCCTTGGCCGTGTGTTTTGGGTCATTGTCATGCTGGAATAACCATCCACGACCCATTTTCAATGCCCTGGCTGAGGGAAGGAAGTTCTCACCCAAGATTTGACGGTACATGGCCCCATCCATCGTCCCTTTGATGCGGTGAAGTTGTCCTGTCCCCTTAGCAGAAAAACACCCCCAAAGCATAATGTTTCCACCTCCATGTTTGACGGTGGGGATGGTGTTCTTGGGGTCATAGGCAGCATTCCTCCTCCTCCAAACACGGCAAGTTGAGTTGATGCCAAAGAGCTCGATTTTGGACTCATCTGACCACAACACTTTCACCCAGTTCTCCTCTGAATCATTTAGATGTTCATTGGCAAACTTCAGACGGGCCTGTATACAGTGGGGCAAAAAAGTATTTAGTCAGCCACCAATTGTGCATGTTCTCCCACTTAAAAAGATGAGAGAGGCCTGTAATTTTCATCATAGGTACACGTCAACTATGACAGACAAATTGAGAAAAAAAAATCCAGAAAATCCCATTGTAGGATCTTTAATGAATTTATTTGCAAATTATGGTGGAAAATAAGTATTTGGTCACCTACAAACAAGCAAGATTTCTGGCTCTCACAGACCTGTAACTTCTTCTTTAAGAGGCTCCTCTGTCCTCCACTCGTTACCTGTATTAATGGCACCTGTTTGAACTTGTTATCAGTATAAAAGACACCTGTCCACAACCTCAAACAGTCACACTCCAAACTTCACAATGGCCAAGACCAAAGAGCTGTCAAAGGACACCAAAAACAAAATTGTAGACCTGCACCAGGCTGGGAAGACTGAATCTGCAACAGGTAAGCAGCTTGGTTTGAAGAAATCAACTGTGGGAGCAATTATTAGGAAATGGAAGACATACAAGACCACTGATAATCTCCCTCGATCTGGGGCTCCATGCAAGATCTCACCCCGTGGGGTCAAAATGATCACAAGAACGGTGAGCAAAAATCCCAGAACCACACGGGGGGACCTAGTGAATGACCTGCTGAGAGCTGGGACCAAAGTAACAAAGCCAACCATCAGTAACACACTACGCCGCCAGGGACTCAAATCCTGCAGTGCGAGACGTGTCCCCCTGCTTAAGCCAGTACATGTCCAGGCCCGTCTGAAGTGCATTTGGATGATCCAGAAGAGGATTGGGAGAATGTCATATGGTCAGATGAAACCAAAATATAACTTTTTGGTAAAAACTCAACTCGTCATGTTTGGAGGACAAAGAATGATGAGTTGCATCCAAAGAACACCATACCTACTGTGAAGCATGGGGTTGGAAACATCATGCTTTGGGGCTGTTTTTCTGCAAAGGGACCAGGACGACTGATCCGTGTAAAGGAAAGAATGAATGGGGCCATGTATCGTGAGATTTTGAGTGAAACCCTCCTTCCATCAGCAAGGGCATTGAAGATGAAACGTGGCTGGGTCTTTCAGCATGACAATGATCCCAAACACACCGCCCGGGCAACGAAGGAGTGGCTTCGTAAGAAGCATTTCAAGGTCCTGGAGTGGCCTAGCCAGTCTCCAGATCTCAACCCCATAGAAAATATTTGGAGGGAGTTGAAAGTCTGTGTTGCCCAGCGACAGCCCCAAAACATCACTGCTCTAGAGGAGATCTGCATGGAGGAATGGGCCAAAATACCAGCAACAGTGTGTGAAAACCTTGTGAAGACGTACAGAAAACGTTTGACCTGTGTCATTGCCAACAAAGGGTATATAACAAAGTATTGAGAAACTTTTGTTATTGACCAAATACTTATTTCCACCATCATATGCCAATAAATTCATTAAAAATCCTACAATGTGATTTTCTGGATTTTTTTTTCTAATTTTGTCTGTCATAGTTGACGTGTACCTATGATGAAAATTACAGGCCTCTCTCATCTTTTTAAGTGGGAGAACTTGCACAATTGGTGGCTGACTAAATACTTTTTTTCCCCACTGTATATGCTTTTTTGAGCAGGGGGACCTTGTGGGCGCTGCAGGATTTCAGTCCTTCACGGTGTAGTGTGTTACCAATTGTTTTCTTGGTGACTATGGTCCCAGCTGCCTTGAGATCATTGACAAGATCCTCCCGTGTAGTTCTGGGATGATTCCTCACCATTCTCATGATCATTGCAACTCCACGAGGTGAGATCTTGCATGGAGCCCCAGGCTGAGGGAGATTGACAGTTATTTTGTGTTTCTTCCATTTGCGAATAATTGCACCAACTGTTGTCACCTTCTAACCAAGCTGCTTGGCGATGGCCTTGTAGCCCATTCCAGCCTTGTGTAGGTCTACAATCTTGTCCCTGACATCCTTGGAGAGCTCTTTGGTCTTGACCATGGTGGAGAGTTTGGAATCTAATTGATTGATTGCTTCTGTGGACAGGTGTCTTTTATACAGGTAACAAACTGAGATTAGGAGCACTCCCTTTAAGAGTGTGCTCCTAATCTCAGCTCGTTACCTGTATAAAAGACACCTGGGAGCCAGAAATCTTTCTGATTGAGAGGGGGTCAAATACTTATTTCCCTCATTAATATGCAAATCAATTTATAACATTTTTGACATGCGTTTTTCTGGATTTTGTTGTTCTTATTCTGTCTCACACTGTTCAAATAAACCTACAATTAAAATTATAGACTGATCATTTCTTTGTCAGTCGGCAAACGTACAAAATCAGCAGGGGATCAAATACTTTTTTCCCTCACTGTAATTAATTTGTATTTTATTGCATGACATAAGTATTTGATACATCAGAAAAGCAGAACTTAATATTTGGTACAGAAACCTTTGTTTGCAATTACAGAGATCATACGTTTCCTGTAGGTCTTGACTAGGTTTGCACACACTGCAGCAGGGATTTTGGCCCACTCCTCCATACAGACCTTCTCCAGATCCTTCAGGTTTCGGGGCTGTCGTTGGGCAATATGGACTTTCAGCTCCCTCCAAAGATGTTCTATTGGGTTCAGGTCTGGAGACTGGCTAGGCCACTCCAGGACCTTGAGATGCTTCTTACGGAGCCACTCCTTAGTTGCCCTGGCTGTGTGTTTCGGGTCGTTGTCATGCTGGAAGACCCAGCCACGACCCATCTTCAATGCTCTTACTGAGGGAAGGAGATTGCTGACCAAGATCTCGCGATACATGGCCCCATCCATCCTCCTCTCAATACGGTGCAGTCGTCCTGTCCCCTTTGCAGAAAAGCATCCCCAAAGAATGATGTTTCCACCTCCATGCTCCACGGTTGGGATGGTGTTCTTGGGGTTGTACTCATCCTTCTTCTTCCTCCTAACACGGCGAGTGGAGTTTAGACCAAAAAGCTCTATTTTTGTCTCATCAGACCACATGACCTTCTCCCATTCTTCCTCTGGATCATCCAGATGGTCATTGGCAAACTTCAGACGGGCCTGAACATGCGCTAGCTTGAGCAGTGGGACCTTGCGTGCGCTGCAGGATTTTAATCCATGACGGCGTAGTGTGTTACTAATGGTTTTCTTTGAGACTGTGGTCCCAGCTCTCTTCAGGTCATTGACCAGGTCCTGCCGTGTAGTTCTGGGCTGATCCCTCACCTTCCTCATGATCATTGATGCCCCACGAGATGAGATCTTGCATGGAGCCCCAGACCGAGGGTGATTGACCATCATCTTGAACTTCTTCCATTTTCTAATAATTGCACCAAGAGTTGTTGGCTTCTCACCAAGCTGCTTGCCTATTGTCCTGTAGCCCATCCCAGCCTTGTGCAGGTCTACAATTTTATCCCTGATGTCCTTACACAGCTCTCTGGTCTTGGCCATTGTGGAGAGGTTGGAGTCTGTTTGATTGAGTGTGTGGACAGGTGTCTTTTATACAGGTAACAAATTCAAACAGGTGCAGTTAATACAGGTAATGAGTGGAGAACAGGAGGGCTTCTTAAAGAAAAACTAACAGGTCTGTGAGAGCCGGAATTCTTACTGGTTGGTAGGTGATCAAATACTTATGTCATGCAATAAAATGCAAATTAATTACTTAAAAATCATACAATGTGATTTTCTGGATTTTTGTTTTAGATTCCGTCTCACAGTTGAAGTGTACCTATGATAAAAAATTACAGACCTCTACATGCTTTGTAAGTAGGAAAACCTGCAAAATCGGCAGTGTATCAAATACTTGTTCTCCCCACTGTAGATATATCCTGCTTTTGAGCTATAAGAAAGAGAGACAAGGCAATGAGAACAACG